AATCACGATGGAATTAACCCAATCTGTGGGCTCTTCCACTTTCTGAATGACTCCCAACCTGATCATTCGATCCAACTCATTTTTCAACCTCTCTCGCAGTGGCGCTGGAATGCGACGTGCAGCATGAACAACAGGCTGCGCGCCCTCTCTTAACTGAATCTTATATGTGCAGGGTACAGAACCTAATCCTCGAAAGACATCCTCATAATCCCGAAGCATTGCATCAATCGGGTTATTAGATTCATTAAATTCAGTGTTTATGTGGTAGACTCTTTTCACCAGTCCAAGTTCTTCACAAGATTTATCACCTAAAAGTGATTCTCGATCCTCTTTTACAACAGAGAAGAACACAAGATGTTTTGTTCCTTTAACTGTTACATTCAGCTGACATGTTCCAATACACTCAATTGATTGTCCATTATAGTCTCTTAGACCTGACTTGACTTCTTTTATGTGAGGTTTTACTTGCATTTCTTTTATATCAGATATGCTTATGAGATTCGCCTTTGCACCTGTGTCAATTCTGAATTTAATTGTGGTTCCGTTTACTAACAAAGGAATTGTCCATTTATCATCTCTGTCAACACATTGCACTTTTTCTGACTCATTTTCACAATTCACAACACCGACAAAGAATGTGTCACTTAGGTCAGTTTCATCTACTAAGTTTACACAATTCCTCTTCTTTTCTTCTTTCCTCTTCTTAAAGCATTGCTTTGCAAAATGATTCTGTCCACGGCAATTTAAACACTGCTTACCATTAGCAGGACATTGTCTCACTTTATGCCTTGATCCACAGCGCTTACAGTTGATAATGGCTTCCTCTTGCAGCTTCCTGGTTTGTGCATGTCGTTTCTTGTGGCAGGACACGCTCCCACTGCCGCTGCTCCATCACTGAACTGTGAAGTAGTTCCTGTTGAAAGTTCAGAAATGTCCTCACTTGCTGCAGAGACAGTTCGCTTGCCCGACACATCTTTACAGCTGTTTCCAGGGTCAGCTCCAGTTCTCTCAGCAGTCTCTCTCTGAGCTTCCCGTCACGTACACCAAAGACGATCTGATCTCTGATCATCGAGTCCTTCAGCAGGCCAAAATTGCATGACTGCGCTTTTACTTTCAGATCGGTCAGAAAGTTATCGAAGGGTTCATGCTGAGTCTGCATCCGGAACGAAACACGTATCTCTCGTAGCATTCATTCTTCTTCGGTGAACAGTGAGCATCAAATTTACTCAGCACAACGTCCAACTTTTCTTTGTCTTCAGGTTCATCAAACACAAATGTGTTGTAGACTTCCAAAGCCTGCACTCCCGCTATGGTCAGCAACATCGCTACCTTTCTTGGCTCCGGCTTCGTCTCCAAACCCATTGCGGCGACATACAGTTGAAAGCGTTGTTTGAAAGCACGCCAGTTTTCATCCACGTTTCCCGTCAGCTTTAAGCTCTCCGGTGGTTTCAGCTCCATGGTCGGCTTTTCAATTCACCCCTTCAGTTACTCCTGACACCATGTTCTGTTCGTGCTTGATAAGAACCAGACGTTGTGCTTCTTCTTAGATGCTTTTATTAAAGTCGCTCTGGCTCGTTTGCTCATACAAGTTGCACACAGGTGTCTCACTAATGACTGACTACTTCTGTTGTCCTATTCTTGACATTTATGCAATCACCTATAACTGCGACTGCCATCTAGTGGACATAAACAATTCATTCAATCATCACAGGACTCACCTGGAAAAAAACTGCAGTCATCACTATAAGAATTAAAGGAAGTCCAATGCCAGTGGTGATCCAATTTATCCATGATACTATATGTCCAACCAAAACTATGTCGTCGACTTCACTACTGTTATAATGAGTGTCGCTGAAGTTGAGGTTCATGTTGCTGTAATTAAAACTGTTTTCCCAAGACATGTTGAAGTTCAACTCTTTCATCCTTCAGTGTTGAACCAGGAGTTTGATGACAGGAGTAACTGTAAACAGAAATGATGATAAATGTATTGATCATCGTTGTATGACTTGTAAATCCTAACATTTACTATCCAACCTGAAAACGCCAAACATTCAGTTTTTACAGATCTACTGCGGCCATGTTTCACTTCAGGGTCTCTTCTCAACATTTCATTGAGACATTTTCAACTGTGATTCTCTGGTTTCTCTATTTATTGCAACTCATTAGAAGGATTTATTTGTGGCATCAACAACGATGCATCAGGCTTGGAGGTAAAGTTATATTTTTAACTGGGAACCTCTACAGGAAACTCACACAATGAAAAGATTTTTGTTTTGGATATTTTCATTTCTCATTTTTTATTGTGAGAAATTCCATTCAGCCATTAGAAAGATACATTTTTGATAATGTTCATGTTCCTTTAGGCCTTTTAAAATATGCCAGTGATTTACTGCAAGTCACCGGCCATGTTGAGAACCATCTTGTGTCAGAATCTCAGTCCTTTATTAAATATCGATTTGGTATCAGTGAGGTCATTAAAAAGACAGGAATATGATTTTTATTGAGCTCAATACTGAATGCAAATAATTCAAACACTTGTTAATACAGGAAGGATATTTTATATCAATACCTTATTTCTTGTTAAATAAAGGAATGAAAACAAAACAGTAAAAAATTCAAAAAACCAAATAATCCACTATCATGAAAGGAAGGAGGTAAATATTTCATCTCTTTTGAGTTTTACATTTCTGTCATACATGCTGCATTGCTAAAGGAACCGAGGTGCTTCATTTTATACACCTGAGGCCATGAAAGTGATCGGGACACCTGATTCCAATCATTTGGATGGGTGAGCAGAGTTTGTCCTCCAGTATTATAAGCCTGGTGGGCTGCCAGGCTTTACTTGCTCCCTGCTAGGCGGAGCCTTGTTTTGGTTTTTATAAAAAAAATCAAATAAATGATGTCTCTGCTGCAGTGAGTATTTTACTGGCAGGGCAAAATTAATCCTGAAAGAATAATGGGTTTATAATTTTCAATAGTTGCTGCATTGGACAGGGAGCGTACGCAAATTCTTATTTGAAACTCAACAAACACCAAATGTCTGTTGAGTTTCATATCCTATGTCTCAAGTTATTAGGATCATCCAACTTACTAAGTTTTTATCATTTAATTCATTAAGAGTGTTATCATAATTAATTTATGTCTCTATTACTCAAATTATTTATTTTATAATGAATAATTCAAATCTCTTTGACTAAATTCTGTGGAAAGTCAAATCAAAATATCCCAAATTACATCATCACTTACAATACAACTTGAATTTAAACCATTTTGATTTCAAGTTAACATGTTATTTTAGTTTTTTAAAGATCCTGTGCGCTGAAAAAATAAATAGTTTATCCAACTGAATTTATTAATTTGGCTGGACTTAATAATAAGAATGGGAAGACATGCAGCAACGGTCATCAACCTGCGACGTCCACATGGAGGACTAAGGTCTCGTTTAGTTGTTGTTGCACCAGCATTAATTATTATCTAATTGGCTCCGGATGATAAATTATGTTTTGTCTTGCATTGAAAAGGTTTGTTCACTTTGACTAATTAGGACATTTACCAAATCATTTGTTTTGTGAATCTTGTCTCCTAAACATTGTTATCACCACATCAGCAGCAGAAAAATTTACTTTACATGATAAATATTAATTGAAAGAATAAACTTGTCAAAGTATAATTTACCTTTTGCTTTCCCAGATTGAGCCACTGAGCTGCTTTCCATGGAGCTGACAACTGAAGTGGAAACTGATGTTCTTCTATCAAATCAAGCTTTCTTTCTTTTTTTTTTTTTTCTGTAGCACTTAGAACTGTTGGTCAGAGGAAAATTATTAATTCAAAGCTTTAAAGTGGATGTTAGCAGTTAATGCTCTGGCTTTTATGGTTTTGTTAAGAAGCAAAGTTCACTGATAAGGAAATCTGATGCATAAACTGTAAACATAATTTTATCATCCATTCATTTCCTTTTTGATGATATAATTTTCTATTTTGGATCAATTAATTTTATATATTTATATTTCATCTATTAGAAAAGGTGATTGACATGACAAAGGTGTCTTCCAGTGACACAATTTCTATAAAATGTTTTTTCCTTTAGTTTCAGTATTTTTTTCCTGAAGTTGGTGAAGAAAGTTTGTCTGCTGGAAAACAAACAGAAACTCACTTGGAAAATAGCATTGAATAAATAAAATAACATAATGATGATAGATTGGTTTATCATCAAATCTGTATTTTACTGTCATGCAGAAACTTCAGAGTCATGTCACCATTTAACAAACTCCATGATCCTTATTTAATATTTCATCTGTTCAGATTTGCATGTAGATAAATCTGCCATAGATTTACATTTCCTGACCTTTAGATGACCTTTTATTCACTTCTACATAAAAGTTACATAATTGCAAAGTCGGGATTTATTTCAATTATTAATCTTCATCATTGTTTTAATTGTCTTGATTACATTTTATTTCACTGTAATGAACTTTGGTACCGTTAATAATGAGAGTTCTCTCTCAGAGGACTTTTAGATGAGCAAATATTTCAAAAATAACATTTTATTGTAATGACAAAAAGATGACAGAAGCATATGTGAACTTTATACATATACTGCAGTCATAAAAAAAAAATAAAAAGCTTACTTGAAACCCCTTTTAAGTAACATCCGTTTTTTGTCATCAGATATGGTTCATGGTTTAAAAGGTTAGAGTGAAACAGAAAACTCTGCTGCAGATTTTACAGCAAAATCAGTCTTTCTACACTTTAAGATATTAAATTTAAAACATAATGTGAAAATGAACATTTTAAAAAGACTATTGGGAATAAATAATGTCCCACAAATGTTAGGTTTGCTCAGAGATTAAAGCAGATTATGTGGAGTTAGCCAGTCTGTTTCTGTATCTGGCAGCTTTAAATGACATAAATGCAGGGATTCATTTCTATTTAAGATTCATCAATCCTCTGACACAACAAACCCAGATGACTCTGAAAGCTCTTGTGAATCTCCTTGCAGATCAAACAGTGTCCGTACTTGGAGCAGTCATGTTGTCATTTCCCATGCTGCTCATCTCCTCACCATCAGACATTTTACAGAAACACAGTGAAGCTAAAACTTTGTCCAGGAGGCTTTTTCGAATCAGCAAATACAAAATGGTGTCTGCAAGAGGACTCATGTAGATACAAATAGAAGCCACAGTCTGAAGACTCAAACTGTTTTGTAACAGGAACCAAACGATGATGGGCAAGAAAAGTATTGTGTACATAAGCAGCACTACAACCAGAATCGCTACAATTCTTCTTTTCTCATCAGCAGGAACTCGGTGAGCTGCAGACAGAGCTCTGATGGTTCCACACAAGAAGAAGATGAACAAGGGGAAGGGCAGGAGGAAAATAAAGGTCAAGATGTATGTATATATCTTCATGAATGGATTGAACTGAATAGCCAACAATAAAGGAAGAGGGAGGACCCAGACCACAATGCAGACCACAACATATGTTTTTCTGTTTCTCCTGAACTTGTACCAAACTGCTTTGGCAATGACCAGATACCTGCAATAAAAAATCGACTTATTTAGTGTTTGGAGGCAGGAGAAGATCAGACATGCTAATGGTGTAAAATACAGAGAAACATAATCACCTTTCCACTGAGATGCACATCATGAATCCCACACTGACTAATATTCCCCAGATACAGAAGAAACCAGGGATGACATCATCCACAGACAAAATCATAGGAATTCTGCTGCAGAGCTGAAGGAGATCAGAAATGAAAAGGTTGATGATGTAGACTGGAGATCCCTGATCCTTTTTCAACTGGAAGACAGAAACAGGAAAAGGTTCAACGGGAATGTTCATAACATGTGGGATGATTCCCGTTCCACAAATGCTGAGGGGGAAACAATCCTTACAGGGAAAATCAAAATGTCAAATAACATTTTCTTTAAATTCCACTGGACTCACCTGCAAAACTACTGCAGCGATGAGCATCAGAGTCAAAGGAAGTCCAATCCCAATGGTGATCAAATTGATCCAGTCTGAGAATCCACTGTAATCTCCAGAGTTCCCATCAGTGTCGTTTCTTCTCTCGCTGTCGTTGCAGATCATGTTGCTGGAGTTGTGAGGATTTTCCCATGATGTCCAGTTGATGTGGAAAACTTTCATTCCTCAGCGCAGAAGCTGATTTTTGATTGACCGTAAACATAAAGAATGAAACATTGTTCAGTTAAAGTTTTTGCATGTATGTCCAAATCTTGAATGGAATATAAAACATCCTCTATAGTCTCCTTGTTTTTCAAGAAGAACATTCTGTAATTCAGAATGTTTAGTTTAGGTTGACCAGATTCAGTTTGAATGCTTCGGTATCACAGTCGATGTCATCTGTTATTATGGCTTAGGGTTGTTTTTAATCAACTCTTAACAGATTGGAGATATTTTTAGATATCATCCACATCAAAATTCTGTCTGGGGTTTCTCCATAGAAATGGTTTCAAAGACTACACCCACAGTTTGGATACTTTGTGAAGCAACTCTGGTTCATATTTGTCTGTGGTCTGAGTTTTTTCCTCCAATAGGTAATAATGAAAGTCCTTACGTATCATGTGCTTCAAGTTGTGTGAAGTTCAGGGAATCTGCTTCGATCAATATGTAAGGCATTTATCTTCCGGGTCCAGTGGATTTGCATTTAAACCAAATGTTCACTGCTGCAGCAGACCTAAATGCAAATCCACAGTATTGAACTGAATCGGAAATCTTCATCCCTGTTCATCGTCTGAAAAAATGTCCTTTGACTGATGAAACCACATGAAATTCCCATTTCAATCAAGCACTAAACAATCCTCACACAGTATAACAAAGAAATAAAACAATAGATTCCAGCTTGTAACAGTTAAACCTTAAAAACATGAATCATTTGCTCTCAGGAACTTGATTTCCATCACCTCAACAGCAGAATGACCAGAAAACAAACAAAGTTATTAGCAATAATAGTCTTCTGAGAGCATAACTTACATTTTGTTTGTCCAGAGTTAGTTAGATTTATGCAGCCACCGAGATTCTTTAACACGCTCTCACATTCAGCTATGAACAGGGAACTTCTGTTCTGAGATCAAATCATGTTTTGTTTCTGTAGCATTGATTGATTTGAAGAAACTGAGCGCTCTTAAGGCGGTAAATTATCTCTTATTACGTTGGTTTTAATGCTTTCACAAGAAGAAACCATTTAGGAGGAAATCTGATTAAATAATGGCTCCTAGAGTCTAATGGGTTGTGATGATGTAAGACTAAATAAAAACTGCTAAGTGCGTAAAGATGAATGTGTGTTTTTAAAGTAACATGTGGAACATGTTGGCCATGCGATGATGCTGACTGCTGCATGCTGCACCTAAAACATCAAATCTGGCCTCAAATTTGAAAACTGCTGCATTCGACCACTTTGGAGCCAGACTTTGTGAGGTAACTCAAAATAACTCACCGCAGTACTTCTGTAATGAGAGGCTTGGGGAAATCCAAGCTGAAGTTTTGCTTTCAAAATAAAAATGTAAGCAAAAGTATTAAACTTTTTAACAACAAAAGATATAAAATCAAGCTTTAGTCAAGGATTTGGTTTTGATGAATAAAAAAGAACAATTAGTTCTGATAAAAACCGAGTGGATATGAAAAAGTTTTCCTCAAAATTTTCAAAATATTTTATTTGAAAATGAAATAACTTAAAATGCTGTTAGAATTTTTGCTTTACTCAAAATAAACAGCTAAAATACAAATAAAATATATTAAAATAGTTTACCTTTGAAAGCTGTCAGGCTCCTTCTAGATGATTTCTCTCCTCTGGTGTTTGAAGGTTTGCTCTCTGCATCAACAGTCTGCAGAATTTACCACTGGACACAACATGAAGTTTGTTTCCACTAAAAATTTTTTGCAAACCCTGTAATGCACATCTCTTTCTTATTTGAATACTCAGCTCACTTTTATGCTCCTTCCTTCTCTGGAACTGTTTGTTTCCACAGAGTTTTGAATGTAACATCAATGAAAGGTGTGTAGATATCAATATTCACAAAAATATGCAAAAATGTCTGACATCCAAAAGTCACCTTGGCAGTTTTTAAATGCATGATTTGGTATTATAACAGACCGTGTTGCTTTTCTGCTGGGGACTTCAATACAACCAGAACTGCAAAGTTTTGGTTTTTTCAGTTCTCCAAGAATTTAGATTTAATTATTTTCTTGACAGAAATGACTGCGATGGAGTGAAAGCATTTATAACCTTCATAAAAGCAGAACAAATTTCATTGGACAAACATATGGACATAAAGCTGCAAACAAGTCAATATTCTGATCTGTAATAATTTTCAGGTCTCAGGAAACTAAACTAAATTATCGTTTTTAGTTATCAGATTATCCAGACTTCCTTCTGTCTGTCTCTCTGCTGCTGTCACTCCTGACTCTCCCCATGAGGGCGAGTGAAGGATATTTATCTGAAACCTTCCCTCACATACATTCTCATTGGTTGATGCATCACATCAGTTCATCCTGTACACAACATGCCTCGTTCAGTAACAAAGGCCAAAGGTCATTGAGGGGAAGTTGCCAACAGCAGGCATGGCTGCTTTTGACCTCAGAGCTACTCAGACTTCCTGCCTGATACCAAACTGAGGGCCATGCAGTTGACTGAATGAAGGACATGAGAAGCTTTTTAAGTTTTCTTGTCACCAGCTCCAACAGATCCACCAGAGTTCATGGATCTGCAAAAGAGACTGAGTGTAACTGAGTGGCATCAAATTGACCACAGGGCCAAATATGGGGAACAGGAAGAGTGTCAGTAGGTGGAGCTGCAGCCAAAGTTTTAACAGTTATTATTTCCTTTGATGATTACATGAATTGTGTTGTTTTACCAGGTCACAGTTCACCATGTCCTCTGTTCGTCTCCCTCTCAGAAGCTTTATGTCTCTGCTTCATGATGCTCTGAGGTTTTCCATCACATGACTCACTCATGAGCTTCATTTGCTCTACTGCGACATCATGTGGACAATATATGTACAACAGGCAGAGTGAAGGTGATGGGATGTGCGAAACTTTAGAATAATTCAAAATACATATATTTGAGACGCCAGACATGGTCTGCATTTTGTCCAAATCTGTTTTTATGACACTGGATCAAAAGAAAAATATCTTGAAATGAAATGAACAAATTTAATATTCATTTTATAGAATCTTCTTGTTCTATAAAATGAAGATTTCAATGTGAAGCTCATTTACATTGAAATGTCATTGAGCTTGTGTTACTTTATAATCTGAAAATGTCACGACAGACAAAATGTTATTATTCTGATCATTATTGATGAATTTTTCTGATTAATAATTAAAACTTTTACCTGCTTGGTTTCAGGTGTTTCTGTTCTGGACTGACAAAGCCACCAGCAGTTTCAGAAAAGTTTGGATCAAACATTTTTCCAAACATTGCAAACAATTTAGTCTTCTTCCATTTCAAGGTCCTTCTGGTATCTTCTGTAAAACCAAAGACTGCATCGTCCTGTAGCATCATTTCTGGAAACACTAAAACAGACATTTTGACTTCTGCAAAGTTTCATTTTTAAATGTAAATATAGAGTGATATTTAAAAAGGATGTTGAAAGTCATAGTCACGTGTTATTGTGATGTAATGCCGTTGTGCAACATGGTCTGACAAGGCAAGATATAATTATGAAGTAAAAAGTTGTTGGATTAAAGAAACAAACTTTTACACTGTTTTTCAGGAAGCAGATTTATTATCACAAATCCCCAACAAACACTCAGCATCCATTTTTTAACTACCAACACATTTAAGATTCTGCATCTCATCTTTCTGAATTCCATGAAAAAAATGACAGACTAACATCATGTTTTATGGTGATATGATGATCAGACAGTGGAGAATCCAGAAATGTTAAAAAAAGTATATTTACAGTATATAAAGTCACTGTTGCTACAAAAACACAAGCTGTATTAACATTTCTCTGCTTCCCTTTTTGTGTGGTGCCATGAACAGCATGAACAGTTTCTGGTTTCTGTTGATTTCTGAGGAGATAAACTGCAGTTTTGCTTCATCACAGCCAGAAAGATGTTAGTTGAAAAAGATAGATCACCTCACAACACTGGAGATGAGGAAAACTAACAGCACATGTTCATGTTTGCAGAATTAAAAACCTAAAACTTCAACTTCAAGCCGTCCGTCCTGCTTTGGAGTCGTTGGTTTTTTAGCCTTAGTTTAGGTTTGGCAACTGAATTGGTTTAATCTACAGATGAATAAAAGTAGTCTTCCTGTTTTCTGTTGACAGAAACTTTTCAACTTGAAATTATTTGACACTTTCTAATGTTGTCCTGTTTTAATCAAACAGATAAACAAAGATAAAAGTCTTATGAACATCTTTTTAAAACTGTCTGAGGTACAGAAGCTAAGACAACGCTGAGAATCAAGCAGGTTGTCATTTTTCAGTTGTTGAGTTTTAGTTTTCAGAAGGAAATAAAAGGGTCATGAAAAATTCAAAACATATAGTTAAAAGAAATTCCTGCAAATAATCCGTGAGAATACTTTGAGAAAGTCAGCTTGGACAATATTTATGCATCAGTGGCACCTAAACTGCTGTCTGTAGAGTTGACGTGTCGTCATCCAGTGTGTTACGACTAAGACTCTCCTGATTCTCAGACGTTACACAGAAACACAAAGAGGTCAAAAGCTGATCAACTGCAGTTTTCCTCAGAAAAATATACAAAACTGAATCTGCAAGAGGACTAAGATAGATGCTAATCTGAACCACAGTAGAGAAGGTTTGATTTTCCTTTGCTCCTTCTAACAGAACAAATACTGTGCATGGCAGATAAAGCAGCATATAAGTAAGCAACACCACAACCAGGATAGAAATGATTCACGTTTTTCATCAGCAGCGACACTGCAAGTTTCAGACAGAGCTTTAATTGTCCCAACTAGGCAGAAGATGAACAAAGGAGAGGGAGGAGAGAAAGAACAGCACTAATGATGCTTTTTGTCTTCGTTTCCTCAATGAAATGATCTATCAGGACATAAAGAACAGAAAATATCCAGATTATCAGACAAACCACCACAGATGTCTTGATGTTTCACCTAAATCTGTACCACAGCGGCTTGGAAATGACCAGATACCTGGAAGAAA